ATTTTGGAAGAAAATTATCATTACCTTTTAATATGTTTAATCCTGATCCAAGGCCATTCAGGTGGAAAAATCACATTATTTGTGTGATCTTTTAACACAACTAAAACTAAGTTATGAGCATGCCTATGAGATGTTGGAATAAAGCAAATAGAACTGAATACTTGAAAAATGCCATATTAAGATCATTCAATGTTAATGATATAGTGTATGTGAAATCTAAGGTTACATTCCAGCATAGGTTTTCGAAAACTTTTTCTTCTAAAGTAAATGATGTAAATTATGTTATTTGTGCACTTGACAATGATTTTTTCTCAGCCATTTATAGAATTCACATCAGTTGCCTTCGTTTGGCTCCTAAAAGATTCTCCCACACTTCAGTACACTTAATTCTTTTTTTTTCACTCATTTCTTGTACTATCATAGAACATTATTACAAGTTATGCAATATGTTTAAATTGTTCGAAATTTATTGTTATGTGTCTTTTGTTGATTTCTTGATTGTGTGAGCATAATCATTAGAGTTTAAGGCTTGATCACCCTTAAATATCATTTCGAGATTCAACGACATTGTGCCTAATATATAAGTGCATAAGTGTTTGATTTCAAAATTTCCTGGTATGATGTGATTATAATGGTTTGTATTGTTTTCTTCATCCTGTATGTGATTTATCTAATTAAGTGTAACTGGGGATGTACAAAAATTGCATTTTGCTTTATCATAGAAATACTATTTACATGCACTGTGTACTTTATTGAAAATTATGGAATATTTTAAATAAGTTTTTGTTTTTTTTGTTTTTGTGTAGATGGCATGGTTTTGGTGATACCTAAATGAAAAAATCTTCCCATTTAAAATGTAATCTATGTAATATGTATTTCAGACTGTTAGCTCCATAGCGATTGTCATGATTTTATATGAGGCTGGCACCATGATACCGGAATTTTTATTATGCACATAATTAATTTTTCCTCCTTCCCTCAAAAAGGGGTGAATATCTGATGAGGTCACATTAAATTTATGTCCTTGGAATTATTACAGCCATCTAGAACCAGATAAGGGATTTCATCTGGCGACAATATTTTTGCCAACAGGTTTGTTATAACATGACCAAGCTATGTCATCAGACAACTCATTTCAGTTCAGTTTGTCTGCAAAGTGAAAGAAATATTACGATTGGTTGTTCTCGCTGTGGAATATTTTCATTTTGTTTCTTATCTTCTGCATTGTCTGTACTTTTAATTTTATCAAGAATCGAGGAATTCCCCTTTTTTATTTCGCTATTCTAAATTATGATATGAGTGCCCTTTCTAAATTCATTCTGGTCCTTAATGTATTGATGCAAAATTTAATTAAAAAGTCCTTCTTAAGTGTTTTTACCTTTTTTCTCATGTGAAGACTTTATTCGTTTAAAGCTTTTTGTTTTGGCTTTCCAAGTTTTTATCCTATTAGCTGAACCTCTCTTTTGATGATGATAAATTTTTAATCTTTGATGATGTGGAGATAAAGGCTTCGTGCTAAGTGCTCCATAAATTAAAATTTCTTGATCCTTGATATTTTCATTGGTTGAAATGTGTAACTGTGCTAGCTTATAAATAGTGGGAATTAGTGAATCTCTTAGTCTATTCATTGTTTTTTCGCTTCCCTCTGGATTTCTGCTGCGTGTACTCTTCTTGTTTCAAATATGTCGTAGTTGGTTTTTTCGTGGTTGGCATTTCTTCGCCCTCTTTTGCAGTTAGCGGAATAAGCCCTACTATATTATGGTATTAGTACTGGAGATGTTTTATGTACCAAAAAAAAAAAGTGATGACAGCTGCCGTTATTTTCCGAATTTGAGAGACAGCCCTTATACTTTTCTTTCTGGAGTATGTTTGACTTTTTGTCTCCACTTACCGTATGAGAAATGTTGAATGTTGTTAACGAAGGCTGTGAAACTACGCTCAGTGCACAGAAATACAAATTTTTTAGGTGCCAGGAGGGATTCTACTGTGGCGGACTTCATGCAATCAATATGGAGCAAAGTCTGACGAGAATTGATAAATAAACGATCTTTGAAAATGTATCCAGGACTCTTCTTTTCCTTTTATTGGACAGCTCACCATGACATGGCAAATACCATGATCCTAAGCCACTGTACTACTGAAGTATTCTCTTAACACTACACACACTTCCTACAGCTCACCCTTGTGTGTAACAATATAAAACAATACTGCTAAGATTGTTTCGGGATTATTTCTATAATTACTGTTACATTTTTATTAATTTTTTTTTATTTAATTGAACTTGTTTCTTTCATTGCGAGTCTTTAATCGTTGAAAAAGAGATATTAAATTGAGAATAAAAAAGTAAATAATTACTGCAAGAGAAAACAGGCTTTAGTTTTATACAGTTAATGATGTTTTTAAATACCGCAGCAAGCATACATTAGGTATTCTGATATTAAACTGGTAGTTTTGCAACAAATGTAATTAGACTCTATTAGTAAATGATCAGTTCAACAAATGAAAATAAAAAATAGGGGATCTTTTCCAGTAAAACATAACACATGCAAAACATTTTTTTCAAAAAAGCTACATGTACCAATTTGAAACTTAACAGCGAGAAAATATCATATCATTATAACTGTGATAAAATTTTTCTGAACATAAGAAATTCATCTTTTAGGCTATTGAAAGGGATAGAATTTTCCTCCTTTGGAAAGAAAAAGAGGACATGTACTTTTAAAATAAAAAAGATCTGCATTTATTGGTTAGAAGTTAGTTCAAGCAGGACAAAATTAAAGATAGATTGAATTAATCAATATTTTTTACTCTTTATATTTAATTATGAATAATATAGTTCAGCATAACCAAGCGTTCAGAATACTTAACTGAATTCAAATCAGAATTCTATTTTAAAATCTTTTGAAATCAATTTGAAACATACTTCTCAAATAACAAAGATATGGAAATTTTTAACAGAAAACGATAAAAACATCAAAATCAAAACTGACATCTGATTCATAAAAAAAATAACTTATTATGATAGTACAGAAAATTTACTGACTGAAGCAAAAAATTCTATAAGCTTCATTAAAATTTCGCCACAGTTTATATCAAGCTGTGTATCTAAGCATTTTACAAAATGAGAGACGCGAAGAAACTATTCTAATTACATTTAACATATATACAGCAAGTATTATTACTAGTAATATGATTATTTTTCTAAGGGGGAGGGACTGAAAAATAATCATTAAATTAATCATTCATAAAAAGTACTACAAGCCTTACAGCATGAAAGCTGTAAATTAATTTTATAATTTGAGGAATAAAATACAATCATTAGTGAGCAGAATATTATAACGTTGATAATAACGCAATCCATGACATTAAAAACATAAACATTTTTCATTCGGTAGTAAGCTTCGCCCCCTGGCTACTCAATAAATGTTTACATTTGGAACTACTAAGATGAAACAACAGCGCCATCTAGTGAACGCGACATTTTAGGACCGTTTTTCTAGTAGGCAGTTTCACCTCCTTCATTATACTCCGTGCGCTACCCATTTCAGAGAGAGAGAGAGAAGGTGTAGAGCGTTTATTTCAGTTTTCCAAGGTTAGGATGAGAGGGGGGTGGAGAATCCTCCAAAATGGCTACTCATCTCAAAGAGAGAGAGAAGACGTAGAGCTTTCATTTCAGTTTTCCAACATTAGAAGGTCCCAAAATACCTTCTGAATTCAAAGAGAGATCGTGTAGAGTTCATTTCCAGTTCTCCAAGATCAGAAGATCAGGGTCCGCTTTTCCCAAAATGGCTTTCCGCATTCAGAGACAGCGGGGTGCAGACTTCAGTTTCTCCCTCCCCAAGAATAAGGGTCCCAAAATGGCTTCCCATTTCAAAGAGAGAGGGAGGGGCGTTCATTTCCGTTCTCCAAGATAGGGTCGTCTGCTTTTTCCCAAAATGGCTTCCCAATTCAAAGAGAGAGAGAAAGGGTGTGTAGAGCGGTCATGTTCATTCTCCAAGATGGGGTCGTCTGCTTTTTCTCAAAATGGCATCCCCCCATTCAAAGAGAGATCGTGACCATTTTTTTCCAGTTTTTTCCAAGATGGTGGGGGAGAAGAAAACCTAGGATGGAATAACACGACACAGAGAGAGAGAGAGAAAAACGCCATCTTGTCATTTTCTGATAGGGTACCGGTGTTCGAATACTTTTGTGACCGACTGTAGGTCTCTGTGAATGTAAGTGCTTGGAATATACTAAGGAGCACTAATTTCTCGTGTAGTTTTATTTTGTAGTACTTGTAATTGTTTAATATTGGTTTTAGCTGCATGTGTCCAGATCGGAGCTGCATAAAGGAGGGCTGAACAAAGTATGGAGCGATATAAAATTAATTTCTTTGCTGTAGTTAAGTTGCTTCTTCTACGAAGAAGAGGTCGCATAGTAGCTGAGGTGATTTTAAAGTTTTGTGCTACTGAAGGGAAGTGGGTTCTGAAGGTAAATTTTTGATCCAGGGTGACTCCAAGATATTTGGTTTCATTAATCCAGTCTATTTCTTCGTCAAATATTTCAGGGAGTGATGAAGGGTAATAGTTTATGTTTCCCTTACGGAAAATCATTGCCTTGGTTTTATCAATGTTAATTTTAATCCTCTAAAGGGTGAGCCATTTTCCCAGCTTTATGATATAGTTTTTGAGTTGGTTTGTTACGGCGATTGCTGTGCAGGCTTTAGTAAGTATGTCGGCAAAGAGTGTAAGATGAACTACTGTGCGGTCGGAGGTTGGGGGGGGGACCGCACATATATAAATATATGATGACTTTAGAATAGGTATGCTTTTTAGTTTTCAGGCTGCGTTTTTTGAAATGGTCTGTGACTGGAGCAAAACAGGGGATGTTTTATACTCCTGATATTGAGGGTATACAATTGACCTAAAGCGACGACGGCGAGCCACCTATACGTCACATGATAATCTTACTTTCTTATGATGGCAACCGTTTTTGAAGTTCGATGCTGTTCGCAAGCTGTGAGCGTTAATGGTTGGACGCTGTTCTTGCCTCAATTGGTGTAGTTTCGTTTTATCTCGGAACTGCGATACTTGTGTTTAAAACTTAATCTTTGACAATTTCAAATACTGTTCAGTTACTCTTTCTGAATATTGTTGCTGATAAAATCCTAGCGTCTGTGTCTGTTGGTCATCCTATCCCTGGCTGTATTGTGAAAATGGCTTCCTACTGACTTCAAGCTGTATATTCGGAACAAGGTGCTTCTCGTAAGTTACTGTTCGAACATTTTATGTAAGCTTTGTGTAATTGGATTTATGTAATTTCGTTGACTTAGATTTGTTTGTATATTGGTTTTATATTTGCGGTCTGCACGATATTCATTACCTTTGATCTTTTTGTAGCATGAAGCCTATTCGAAACTTCAGTGACCGGCACAATGCTGAAATTTAAACAGTGAATTCATAATTTACTTTTAATAAATATTAAAGTGAATATAGTTGTTTAGTAATCATTATTGCGTAATTACAAGATCCATTATTGTTTGCGGCAGTTGTTAGATGAATTTGTTTGCAGCTTGGGTAAAACGGCGAAAACGATAGACGTTCTTAGAGTTATGTTCCATTCCCTGTAGGAAATACTCTTGCTAAATGAAAAGATAATTAGGTCTTAATATTCTATTTAAGGAATATTTGTTTTTATAGTTAGTTAATATTTCTATCTTTGAATGGAGAATAATACATTTTTCTGTCATCATACAGATTAAAGTTATATATTAAGATGTGAATAGTTGTTTATCCATTAACTGTATGATATTATAATTGATGGTTAATATGTAATTCTTTCGTAACAAGGATAACGCGAAAACTACAGTATTTTCCCCAGAATCTCGTTTTCGGGTATTGTGCCAAAAACGGTAGTATGAGAAGTGGTTTTTTTTTACTGTGAGCTATTTTGCTTTCCTGTGGAATGTATTTTTCTAAAATGTCTTAATCTTCTGTTGAAAAGGATTGTTTTTAAAACTATTCCCACCTTTTTCCCTTTTTCTGCAGAACTGTTTGTCTTTCTCAAAGAAGTGCAATACATTGAAGTTGGGTTTTATAATTTTGTTATTGTATTTGAACAAAAACTTTTTCTTGATTTTATACAGAATACATTCTTTAATCATGCTTGTATGTATTTTTAAATCCACATCTGTCATTTTTAACTTTTAAAGTATAATGCTGGATTAATTGCTATGGCATAGCTGCTTGCTGTCGTAGTGGATTACTGAGTCTTCTCCTCTTTTATTGATTATTATTTTTACCTTTATTGAGAGAAATGTTTACCAGCAATAAATGAAATTTATTGAATTAGTGAGACTTGTGGAAATTCTATTCTCCTACCCTCTGTGATTTTGGCATAATTTTTTGCTTTAATTTTTTTTTTTTTTACCTGAATTATCCTAATCTTCTATAGACATTTATAGGATTTTTATGAATATTTAGCGTTTAATCGGTTAATATTTGTACATCAGTAAATAGTGTATTATTTTTTCTCCATAATATGTACATTAACTATTAGCTTTTTAAGTATCCCCATCCACTCAGGATTCTCTTGGTATAAAAGTATAAGAAAGTTACAAAATGAAATTAGCCAAAGAATATGTTTAAATATTAATATATTTTGTATCGATTGCAAAGTAAATTAAATAACCTGAATCATACATGATAAAGTGAATTAAAAGTTATTTTGAAACGTTGGCAGCTGTGCTGTGCAATTTAAATGCAGTAGATCTTATCTTGGTTACATGTAATTTTCTTATCTATGTTTATATAATGAAAAAAAGGTTTTTTTCTCCTGCAGCTGTGTCTGAAAAAGATTTAATACGGTCCAAGCACTGATGGCTCATGTATCATGAAAATAAACTTGAGATGCATGACAAATTTCATATTATAAATTTTTATAGCTAATCTTTGAAATATGGTAACAGGTAGTTTGGCGACATTTTGGTAAGGCGATAAAGGTCACTAGCTAGGACTTTAGCAGTGTACATGGATAAAGTCAAGAGTGTGCACAATGCCCTTTTTGTGCAATTCTGGGATGTTTTTTTAAGTGAAAATAGGTCGACGTGTACATGGATGATACTGCGTATGTGCAATTCTTAAAAACGCGCAAAGCAGTGGGCGATTCTGCACTTTCTCCCAATTTCGCACCCAATCTTCCTCATGATTAAGCACGTTCATAAAAGTTCTAGCATAAGCGCAATTCGGCTAGCAGATTGTTGGGAAAAAATGTTGAGTTAAAAAAAAAAATGCCTTTACTTCGTGAAAACAGAATGGCGTCCAAACAAAAACTAGCAAGGGTGGTCACCAAGTTATCATAATCCAAAGATTAACCATTTTTACAAGCATGTTTTTTTAAAATTTATTACACTATTTTAGTTCAAAAGTAAAATTGCCTTATATGATCCTTGAAGCACAAAACTTGGCCTTTTGCTGTAGTGAGTCAAAATTAAGCCTTCCCTTTTTTTTTTTTTTTTTGCTTTACTTTGTTCTAGAATTTGGTGGAGTTTTATAAATGGATAATTTGGTAAATAAAATTGCAGAATTGGAGGAAGGATTTTAATTATACTATATTGATTAATTGGTGAATCTTCGGGTTATGGTAACTTGAAAATTTGGTGACCAACCCTGTTACAGCAATCTGCTAGTTTTTTTTTTTTTTTTTTCACGCCATTTTGTTTTTACGAAGTAAAGGCATGTTTTTTTTACTCAAGATTTTTTCCAACAATCTGCTAGCCGACTTATGCTTATGCTAGAACTTTTATAGAACAAAAGTGCTTAATCATGACGAAGATTGGGTGCGAAATTGGGAGAAAGTGCAGAATCGCCCACTGCTTTGCGCTTTTTTTTAAGAATTGCACATACACGGTATCCATGTTCACATCGACCTATTTTCACTTAAAAAGTCAAAGAAAATTGACAAAAATCCAATTCTTCTTACTCTTGTAAAAAGCGCCAAACCAACAAGTGGGTGATTCTGCACCTTAGCAGCAAAATTGTTTGTAAGTGCTTATTAGCAAAAATCACGATCGGAATTTTCCGGAAACTGTCATGTAACATGTCTCGTGATCTCTCATTTCTCCGAGACAAAATAATCTGTGATTTGAACTGTCTACTTCTCAGATTATTGCTAAAGTCCTACCTAGTAACCTTTATCGCCTTACCAAAATGTCACCAAACTACCTGTTACCGTATTCCAAAAATTAGCCGAATAATTTACTAAATAAACCACATGGATGATTACCATTTGTATAAACTTTGTAACTACTGCAAATTCTAAGATATTTTTAGCTGAAAAATTTCAGTTTAATCCTGCATCTAGTATACTGGTTTGTTGCAAGTTTAAAAATCTAAAACGTAATAATATCTTTGTGCATCAGCTGACTGTATTGCTGTTTCAGGGAAATTTTCAAAAATAAAAAAATTAAAATTCTCTAATTGGGGTGCTAGTAATATTATTTATTCGATGGGTTTTCTTTAAGTCATTAAAATTGGTCATTTTTTTTAAGTGGTGGGAAGCAGGTTAAAATCAGATTAAGATCATCTCTGATGTTTTTAAATATATTTTAATTATTGAAAAAAATAGCTTAAAGAAATATTTTTTAAAAAGCCATTTTAATACCAGATGTTATGGTTGGGATATAGCCTGAACTTTTTTTAGCTTTCTCAAATGTCCAGATTTGTGAAACATACCCCTCTCCAGCCACTAAATCTTTAAAATCAAAATCTTTTTCAAATTTTGTTTTAGGACAAACATGCTATTCTGTGTTTATATAAATGAGAACTGTTTTATATATCATATAATTCAGTTGAAGATCAAACTTCTTGTCGGAATAAAGTTTGCCTTCTACAAAAGAAGTTATTTTTGCTTTTTGTCTTATGCTGAAATGGCAGAAACTGATATTGGGAAGTTTGGGGCTGAAGTATTCAGTTGAAAATAATATCCATTATTGACAGGACTGATTAAATTTAACTTGCTACTGTGGACCCATTGGTTAAAATGTTTAATTCTACAAGTGATATGTCAGAATGAACTTGAAGAAGCAAGTTGAGCAAGAAATAATGGTTAAACTGAACTACGTATAAAGCTTTTGGATCTGAAAGTCCTGATGATTACTGGAAAAGGTTGTAGGAATAATTTATTGCATAGCTGGACAGCTTAACAGACTTCGGTTTCCATGAACCATTTCCTTTCTAGCATTTCCTCATCCCCCAAAGCTGTTGATATACGTACTGCAAATTCTGATTTAATATTTAGAGTCAAGACAGAAATCAAATTTTCTTCCCAGAACCTTGCTGATCATATTGAATTTTCTGTTAGTGAAGAAAATATAAACGCAGCAGTTTCCTAAAAGTAACCCCCCCCCCTCCAAAAAAAAGCAAGTTTCAGTTAGCAACTATTTTTTAAAATGTAGAGAAACAAAATAGAAAGCAACTTTGTGAATTGATGTATGAAGCAATTTTTGTAATGAAACAAAATTATGCTTTTTGCCTTTGTTAGTGAAGTAGTTTGAAAATACACTTATTTCACAACAGTATTCTTGATTATTTGAAATTGTGTCAGATTTTTACAATGCAGTATTTTTCATAAGCTTTAAAATGGGGTTATAATTACCCCTCTAATACAATGCATGAAGGTGTTGTTTCTATGCCCATTTAAAATCTCTAGCATAAATCTGATGTGTGCAATCATTCAGAACACTAAATACAATGTGAAAACACTGTCTGAACAATCCAAATTAGATCATAAAATAGGTACATTTTTTTTTTTTTACAAATGCATCATTTTGTAGTGTAAAAAAACCCCTAATTTCATAAAAATAGTCGAGGTCCTGCATCCTTGCTATAAGTCTCCATATAAAAGTGATTTTATTGGTAAAGTATTAAATGATATACATGTATAAACCAATAATGAAATGCAGTATGTTTTATCTAATCAAACAGTATGCGTGATGCAATTAGTCGAAGGGGATTTCATAGTTTCAAGAGGCCTTTTATGCACCTGTTGAGTATAGTTTATGAATATAAAAAACTGATTTTATTAAAGTTTAGTATTTATCAACATTTTCTCTTTCTCGTTTAATGTATAAAACACATTAAAAAATTAAATAAAAATATGTGTATTTTTGGAAAGAATCATTTAGCATTGGTTAAAGATGTGCGTGGGGCAGAAAAGTTTAAGAACCACTGTGTTAATTTAATATTCCAGTAATCTCTAAGCATTT